CCGGGGCAGTATTTTCTCAAAGATACTATTTTCTTAATTTAACAGCCTTCCTCCCTCAGAATTGTAGATTAGGACAATGTGGCCCTTCTGGGAAAAGCTTCAATCAGAACGGAGAGTGAACGGAGGTGAAATTTTGCAGTAGTAGGGATTTTGAGGGTTGTTGAGGTTTGAAAATGAATCCCCTGAGAAAGCAAACAAAGAAACAAGAAACAAACAATTCTGTGTTTAATTTTCTTCTCAGTCTGTGGGCAGCACAAGAAGATAGGGTATTTTTGCCAATTTGACATTATGTACTTTGAGCTAGGGAAATGATTTTTTAAAAAATAACAATGCATTTGATTACCCTGCGGTTGCCTCTTCTTCACAAACATTGTGTTTGTTAATCATTTTAATGTACCAACTGGTGGGGAGTGCTGGGAGGGATGGCCAGTGTTAATGTGGGAAAAAAAAAAAGACCAAAATAAGTTTCTGCAACACTCAAATATCTCCTATTGTGCTTGATGCACTTTTCAAAGTTGATCATTCAAATGTAATGCAATAGATTATCAGAAACATCTTCAGAGAGGAAGCCCTGGAATAGTTACCTAATCTTAGTGGCAGTCCCAGAATTATAATAGGGATTCAAGAAGGTAATCTACTCGAAGACAGTACTCAGTCTGTGTTGTCAGTTACTGATGAATTTTTCTGGTTGCCGCTTTCACCCAGCAAAGCGCTCAAAGTGATGTGTTTATGGGAAATACAGAACGGTTGGATTTCAGTGTTCTGTGTTTCATTCAACAAACTCGGTTTTCCACGGAAATAGAAACTCTTTTGGGCTTCTTTAAAGCCAAGACACTATCTTTGGGCTGAGTGCAGATTACAGTGTCATTATCTGAGTTGAATTCTTTGCACCCTTTAGCTATAGCTCAGTGAAGGGAGGCTATTGGCAGAATTCACTGGGTTAAGGAAGAAGAAGGAATGGCTAGGATGAAAGTAGTGTAGAGATAGAGAGCAACCAAAGGACTTGTATGCATGCATATTAGCATAACCAATGGACACAGACACGAGGCGGTGGGGAGTGGGTCAATGGGGGAGGGGTCGGGGAGGGAAGGAGACATGTAATACTTTAAACAAACAAACAAAAAAAGTAGTGAAAAGACAACCATGTTTGTTCCATTTGTTGTTTGGTGTAAAAAAGAAAAATATAAACTTAAAAAAAAAAAGTAGTGTAGAGACTCTGGGGGAGATGGCTGGGACAGCCACCCCTAAATTTGGATTCCAGGCCCTGTTACCTGTTACTAGCTGGATGACCTTGGGCAAGTTATGTCATCTAGCTGCTCTCTACTTTCCCTGTCTGTAAATTGGGGTTATGAATGTCTTCCCTCACAAAGCTGTTTTGAGGATTAAGTGAGATAAAAGATGTGAAAGCTGCCATTGTTAGTTTCTCCCCTCCAGCAAGGAAACCTGACTGGGTTATCCCAGTTTGAACCATTCTGCAGTACCACACGTTGGGAGCTGATTCAGTTCTGGATCTGAA